GAAACGATTTTACTAGATATTTCAGTCTTGCTGAACTTGCATTCACGAGAAGACATGAAATTCGGCTGTTTTGCTCGACTCTACACAGACATTCAGCGAGTACAAGACCTGCACAGACGTATCACTGACAATAGTTACCTCGGGGCATGGTGATTTCAACGATAGCTGCTGTACTGGAGACACGTTCTGGACTTGAAGCGGATCGTATGGTCAACTCATAGCGTTCACCGGGTTTCAAGTTACTCAGCGTAAAACTGTTCCCCTCAATTTTGATCTGTAATCATAATTTGACTTAGTTTTGTTTTATTTTTTCTCATTTTCTAAAAACTATTTGACAGACTATTGGACTGCTACTGAGAATGAGATAAGTTTCGGGGAACTTTCATAGTGCTTGACTTATTAGCCATGCGACTTTGGAAAGAGGGGAGAGAAATTTGACAGGCTGTCATTGAGAATGAGGCAAATTTTATCACAAATTTGGTGTCGCTTTATCGAAAAAAAATCCCATGCCTGAACACTCCTGCTTTTCTGTTGTTTTATCCACAAAATATTACGCATGGATTTAGGGTTGTTTAATTTAGCTTAATATATTATTTTATTGTAATTAACGGGTCTACTGCATGTGTAGCGTCCAAGAAGAAACATTTCTGTTCATTTGAACTGCCAGTCTACCCTCTTCAAATCCATGAAAGCTACTCAACACTTAACAATAGCAACAGAGGGAGCTTATCCAACAATTCCTAAGTATGCTAACATTTTCCAAACTAATTTCCTGTCAAAGCTTGCTTCTTTTTGACCAGCCAGCATCTTTATCCAAATGACTAATTTTTTTTTGTACAATCTGTTTCATGAAATGCGTAAAACGGACTTGTTGTCGGAGCAATGGCGAGTTATCCTCGGACGTCAGTTGCTTCACATTTACAATGTAGTAGTGCTGACCTAAAAATGAATTCGTATGGTTTTTGATTTCATGAAATCGAGTGCAGAAAATGCCATGCTAAAATCCGCTTAGTCGACAAAGTCGACATATCCGGAAACTATGCGGAAAGGGAAGTATTTTGAAGACGATGAAGGGCATTCTTTTCAGGAGTAGCAATTTGTGAATTTTTATGATATAAAAGACCAGCGTAAAAAGCCATTTATAAAATGGGAAAAATAAATTATAACGAATAATCTACAATGAATCTATGCCGCAAGAACATGACTTTGGTACTAATTGCAATAAAATGACTTTTTTTAAATTATTCAAAATAAAAGAAGAAGAACGGTGAGGAAGAAAGGAAAGCCAGTTGTCCTGCTCTTCAAGTTGTTTTCCAGTACGGCTCATGAAGTTCATCGCACTAGGAATATTGGAAATCAACATGTCTTGAATTCGATTTCGGAAACAGTGATGACATCTTGCCAACTGGGCTAACTGACCATCTGAAAGTGCTCCAGCTGGTGGTGTCCATTCCAGACGTACCATTTGAGTGCTCAATATGTGTGCTTCGAAATCCAGTGGTGGCAGCAAATCATCGTCATCCACGGGAACGCCATCGATAAGAACACGTTTCGAAATCGCGATTAACAGTGATTGTGACCATTCCTCGCTAACTGCACCTCCGGGATACTCGGCTTGAACCTGAAACTGGACCACCGGCAAACTAATTCATAAACAACCACAAACTGTGCAGGATTCCAATGCTCAGAACTTTTTTTCGCTACGATAAACAAAATGTTTTCAAAAGTGATTCGAACTGGAGTGATTTATAATCAGCAACTACCAGCAACGATGGGGATTCCGGGAATTGCTTTAGAAATAAAATAAAGACAATTCTGTCTTCCTGGCAAATACAATTTCTGTCAGCGAAAAAAAAAATTAATAATTTGTGAAGAAATATTTCGACATACTTGTCTACGACAGTTCATCAATCTCTTTTTTTGTTAGATTTTAAATTTTTGTTAAATTTTACTAGATGATGCGTTTTTGCTGGATTAGAATCCAGACCTCACTGACAGATTTGCAATTCTTCATTCTTGATGCAAAATCAAAGTGTGCAATTCATCACGTTGCAACAGAATGGGGAAAAAACTCCCGACTCATCAAAAATTTAGACTCATTACTTTTCTGTCTTGGAAATTCGGATGAAAAAATTTCTGACTCACTTTTCTAATGCCAATTTTTTTTCTGATTTGCAGAACATGAGGCACAAAAATTACCAAAAGATCCTAAAGCCTATTACAAAGTAGCACCCCATCCACAAAGATTCCTGAAGAAGTAATGATTTCTGAGACCGTATTCTTGTGAAAATAAGCGTGAGGTATGCATTCGATGGCGCAGTCTTTCCGCTTCCCCTCCTCAACACGTCTTTACAAATCAGGTAACGCTACCTGCACCTGCAATTCATCGCCATTTCTCACTTCTTCCAAATCGAGTTGCGCCTCAAACACTCCTGAAACTCGCGCATACTTCCAATCTACTTGCGCCGTTCCGTCCGCACGGTTGGTAATTCTGTAGCGGACTAAGAAGCTTACTGGACCTGCAAGCAAAATCACGGATGCCGATGAGGAAAAAGCCATCCAAATCTATGAGGAAAAAAAGCCAAAGAAATATCGAGTGAGGTTGTTTGAAAATTGTATGTTCAAACAGACCAGATAAGTTTGCAGTCAGCGTTTCATCCCTAAGCTGTAAACACATACAGAGCATCGCACGAGAATAAATGTGAGGATCGTCTGTATGGCTTCCTACTTGCCATGTAGACAAGAAGCAGATTTAAATAAGCTTGACATAATAAATAATGATATTTTATAATTGTTAGAAATATAGAAGGAGAATAAAAGAAAGGAAAAGGAACAAAGAGAAAAAAAAAATTGATTGGCGAATCAGTTAATAGTATAAGAAAAGAATAATATATTCATTCTTACATGAATAATATAATTCTCGGTTTCGCTTTTTCATTACTGCTTTCAGTATTTGCTAGAATATCTACTGGTGATACTAAACTCATTAAACTGGTGTATTAGCGAGTGTTGTCTACGGATCATTAATTGACTATTTGTTCAGTTAAAACAATAATTGCCGTATCATCAGGGGAAAGGAATTTGAAGAGGCAAGTTAACACAGTGCTGCAAACGAAATGTTGACACAGTTCGTTCTGTTCCGGTGGTATCGAAATTTTTTTGATGATTTACCTTAGATTTATTATTTTCATTTTTATTTTATTGGCTTTACAGGTACATCTGTCAGTTTGACATACGTAATGGTGGAGGTAATGTCTTATAAAATGCATTTTCAATTTTTACTTTAACCTTTTTGATTTCCATTTTTCATTTTTTAGCACACTGCATGCTACTTTCGCCGCAACTGTCACGCTGACGTGATCCAGCTGCAGTACCGAACGGGAATGTATGCGGCTTGATGGACCGAAACATTCCTATCCAGATTTTAATCTTATTTTATTCACATTTTTCTTTTTTAATTCCCTACATCTTTCATAAACATATACCAATTAAAATTAAAATAGATTAATAAGACGTCTAGAGCAAGAAGTTGCACGGACCTTGCTGCCGGATCACTTCCTCCGGGTACGACCAGTGTACGTAGATTGCATCTGTTGGATGATCGTAGCGTGCCCGCAAATT